GGTTTCTGTCTTAAGCGTTTTATTTTTTTTTGTGAGTTTCTGGAACATGTCAGGCATATCAAATGTGTGACCAACGGGTTTGGAAGAACAAGTCAGCTTTTCCTTTTAACGTTGAAGCGCAGCCAAGGAACATGCCGCAACGCGAGTCTTATCGGTGAATTGGTCACGGTCCCATATTTGCATTGATGTTGTGGGCTAAACTTTTCCCCCCAAAAGCAGCACGCATAAATGATTGCGACATCTCGGAAGTCTCATGAACGCTTGGGATACTGGAAACGTAGCCGAAACTGTACTGGTCGCAACCATCTATTGTGGGGAGAGCAACTTGGTAGTAGATCCTACGAATGTGCGACTTTCGACGCTTTAGTAAATAACGATTGGCTGGCCCAACCAAGCATTTAACGTGCGCGAGTGGCTGTGGGCAGACACCAATCATGTATGGCGGGTGGTAAGTGATCGCCTTTCGTTTCTCTCGCAGAAGAGTTAGTGAAAGAAATCGATGAAACCTAGAGATCAGACGGAATTTTAGAGCTCTTCCGTTGTGTCCCGTCAGCTAGTTGCAGACTGCAACTTGCAGTCTTCGCAGCGTGTTAAAGAAACTGAGACAAACAACAGCAAACTTGATCCCAGGAAAGCCACGCTTTCCTACCTTACATGGGACTGCGCAAATTCCAGTTTTTCACTTAACGGCTGGATCTATATTGATCGCTGTCAACGCAATAGCGCTTCAGCTTTTGGCTATAGCGACGTCTCAGTCATCCAGTGATGTGTCAGAAGTCGATGTACATTGAATGAGGTGAAGTAGAGTTTCCATGCTTTGATTCGTTAGCTACACGCCTTGTATTAAAATAGTGGGCACAAAGGTCATGCACGAGTCGTGACTCATGACACGGCTGTAAATGCATCGGGTAGACTCAAAAAGGTCGTGTTCGGTACGATGTCTTCTCCGTCACGTGTTTGTTCGGCAAAGAGGTTGTGTCTACAATATGAGCAAAGAGCACTTAGACCAGTTCATCGTGGTGGAGGCGAATTCACCCTACATATATCTGTCTCACCCTGTGACTGCGTATATTTTTCTCTTGTGCGAAAACGATAAGCAACGGGGTTGCCATCACATCGATCTGGATAACCCAACTGTAAGGCGCATGAACATACCTTGGAAGTCACGAGCTGGCGTCGTGGACTTGTGCGGCGACGTCGATAGATCGGTTTCTTTACCTCTTTATATTACCAAAGAGCATCGTTGAAGTGACGTTTCTTGGTGCTGTCCGGGGACCAGCACGTTGACCAGTTAGACAGTCGTACAGCGTAGTTGTTACTTCGTATTTTAAAGCTCGAGAGACTGACAACTCTGTAAGTGGAATTAACGTTAATATCACGTTAGCTTGAAGTGACAAGAGATTACTGCAGGCGAGGCAGACGGTCTAGTGCATTCGTGCGAGGGAACTGGGTTCGAAGCCTCTCGCTTATTAAATTCTCTTGGAAGCTCGGAATTCCTGTTATTGTCAAATCGGTGTACAAGTGATCTCACGCTGGAATGCAACGTGTGTGGATAGTTATACACCTTTTCAAACAACCTGTCCCTTGATCGATCGTAAAGAAAACGAATTCTTTGGTGCTATGCTTGCGTCTCCGAAGCCATCCAGGTCATAGTAGAGCCGACATAGGTGGAATGGATCAGCTTGAGAGACTTCCTGCTTTTTCTTTCTTTTCCTGTACGGCACATTGATGTCATTTAGCGAACTAACGATATAGATATACTTCCTGCTTGCGTAAGACCATTCCACATTGGTTGTAACTTAAGAATGGAGTTGCTTCATTCGTCTACACGAGTTTCACTCCATGTCGTCGATTCTTTGTAGAGAACGTCTACGGACCGTAAATTACGGTAATGAGATCTGGCAAAAGTCACAACATAGTTTCATTCACTAAGACAACGTGGATGATTCGACATTCTACGACTTTGTACAGGTTCCGGAGCAGGCCACAGTACCTAAACGTGCGTGAAGTGACGAGCATTCTCGAATGATCCACACGTCAGGAGAAAATAATGAAACCGGAGATCCTAATTACGTACTTCTTGCTATCAATAAGCCCGACGGTTGTTGCTAGCAATGCTTAAAGTAAAGAGAAAGCAAAGAATCCAGACTACTGCATTTTCAGTTCCAAGGTGATCGGCGTAAAGCCGTTGAACTCGTGTTCATTAAAGCTGTCGACCTCAGAGCCTGAGGCCCAAGCCAATGCATTGTTAGCACAACCTTCACCCTCCGTATCGGGAAAAATGTAAATCCTAGTGACAGATTCAGAGGTAGTTTCAACCAAGTCCTCATCCCATCCCGAATTTTACGCGTATTTACAGCTCGTGACAGGCTTGGGATGATGATTTAAGTGGTCAATATCTGATGGCGAGTTAGATTTTTTTTTTTACACTGGAAATAGCGAGCTGGATGCTACCGAGCCGTTGGCTACTTGGCTAGTCGATGCATGGGATGCTGACGAATGTCACCCACTCTCAGCTCTCATAACCACATTTCAAATCGACGATAGCTGCGAGATGCCGTCGCTGTTGGGCTTGCGGCTCGGTCGATTTGACCCTACGGCGTCCAAGCCATCGATAGGCTGGTGCAACGACGTTCCGTACGATGACAGCGACGCAGAAGCCGAGTGGGAAGAGTACATTCGACGTCAACGCAGCATCGAGAGCAACCAGTTCGACAACGAGAGCGTTGCCAGCTTAAACACCGAAGAAGCAAGCGAAGAAGCCATCGAGAACGAGATTGAAAAATCCACGCATGAAGTGTTTTGCCAAAG